GAATGGAGGGAGGAAATGAGTAGGGAGGCAGAATACGAAGGGAGAGGATGGTGCTGGTGGGTTGATTGGCTCACAAAAAAGCCACGCTTGGTAACAATGAGGATGAGGATGACATTGAGTTGAAGGAGTGAGTGTGTGTGCGTGTGTGTGTGTGTGTGTGCGTGTGTGAGCGTCAAGAGACTGTCCTTCCGCTTTTCATTGTAACTGTGTGCATGAATGAAATGCCTGTTTGTGTGTGTGCGTGCGCTTGTCTGCATGTCATGTCAGTGAGTGACAGGAAACTGCCATTCAGTCTATTTCTGAAAGCCAGAGAGAGTTGGAAAGCCAAAGCAAAGACTGCTACCCAACAGTACACACAGGCCCCACCTCCCCCGCTGACCTTTTCCTAAATGTTACTGGCCACTTGGCACACTGACTGGGCCTCTAATGAAACTTTTATTGGCCCCCATTTTTCACCAGAACGCCTACAGGGCAAAGCTGAAATACAACAGGCTTGAACTGCAGCTGACACACAGAAGGGCAATGTGTGGTGTGTGTGTGTGTGTGTGTGTGTGTGTGTGTGTGTGTGTGTGTGTGAGTGTGTTATAGTGTTCGCATTTCATTTTTATCTACCCTTTTCTTTATTCCAAAATCAATTAGATCAATTATAAATGTTGATGAGATCATTTAAAGCCCTTACCTGCGGAGTATTTAGCACAGTATATCATTCTTCAATTACATTTGATAACATCAGGTAATAGCTGGAGGCAAACAATACCTCCTCAGGGAGAGCTGGTTTATCGTTTGCATTACATTTGGTGTTGACTCTGTTTGTCCGCGCGGGGACGATTGGGAATTAAATGTGCAGGATCAGCTTTTAGCACCGAGGAAGGGAACAGGATGAGAAGTGCCAAACAGCTGAAGTTACTGCAGTCAAGGAATAACCAGGATATCCACATAATTCATCAATATATACTGTATTATGAGGAAGAGCAGATACGCTCTACAGCTATAAATATTGCTGTGGGTACGTTGTCTTCAAGTGTAATACAAGCCTGTTAGTTTTAAATGAGTCATCAGCACTGACCTGCTCACACTCTGCTGTAAAATTGATTTCTGAACTGTTACTGGGAATGTTATTACAAGAACAAGTATTTTAACCACAAATCCTATCCAAGTCATTGAATGCAAAGTCTAGAAATAATAATTTTTATGAAAATAAATAAAAATATAATCTGCACAGAGCTTTTGGTTAAGGGTTTCATTAAAAGTTTGTGCAATTATACCACAGAAAATCTCTCACCTTTATCTACGTCTATGAAAACAACATAATCTATCTCAGAAATGACTGTTTTACTTTTCAATTTTCATCATTTTTATCTTTCTAATTCGATTTTTTCAAACTCCATCCACTGAGGTAGATCAAGTCAAATGACTGAAAGCTCCAGAACAGCTAAAGTGTGGACCTCGTGGTAACACTGTTTTTGTCTAATGCTGTTTCCCAGGGGAACGTTTAATCTAAATGTTTATAGCGTTTTCAGTTTTAACGGAGAGCAATGGGGCATTTACAGCACAAACTGTGAATAACAATCGGTGCTGCCAAAGCACAGTGGGTTGAAATAAACACTGGGTCAGAATTTGGTCAAACGTAACATAGCTGCTGGTGAATAATGAAAATATGGCTTCATCAGCTCCAATACCACTGGACAAGCATATGCCAAACCACACAGTTCGGTCCAATTTAAAATATTTCTGTTCAGGACTTGGCTTGCTCACAATTCTGGGCTGATGTCTTTGAGAGACAAGGCCATGCATGGGATGGAATGCAGATGTTGGTATACTATATCATGCATAATGTGTAGATGCTTAAAAACCCAATAAAATCATTTGAATATCAGCTCCAATACCAATCTTGCAGTTCAGTTTTAATATTCTTAGCAGTAAATTCATCACATCTCAAATTCTACTGGTATCACATGGTGGCATTACTATCAGCCTAATTTTACTAACGCTATTATGAAAGAATGGAGTGACCTGTCACGCCGTGAAATATTTCTATGTTTAAGGAAGAAATTGGCATCAGTTATTAAGGGGTGTTCTGCTGATTGGCAGAAGGATGTGTGTGCCTGTCTTTGTGCAGCATGTGTGTGTAAATGACCTAGAGCGGATGGGTTAGGCCCAGCTGAGTTGTGTTTTTTCCTCTGCGGAAACACACGGGGGCTGGGCAGAGAGGTCAAGAGCAAACTGTTGATACTCATTATAAGCTGCTGTTGGACTCACGCAAAACTAATCACCACAAGCTGAACTGAACGGAGCAGGAATGAGCTGAGTTCAGCTGCACCGAAGGATGTATCTGCAGAGCAAGGACAGGTTCAGATCAAGTTGAGCAGAACAGAAAAGAACTCACGGCTGGCAGAGTTTGATGAGGTCGTGGTCGGTGGTGGCAGGCGGCAGGCCTCTGATGTACAGGTTGGTCTTACTAAGCTGCTCCACTAGCCCTCCTCCATGACTTCCTCCTCCTCCACCTCCTCCTCCTCCTGTGGTGCCAGGGCTGGGCGGAGCCATGGGCGGAGGGGGAGGTGCATAGGACTGCTGCAGAGAGGGAGAGAAAAAAAGGGAGAGGTCACTTCAGATCACAACATAACAAAAAAAAAAGCCTTGTATGCCACTTTCTGTGTCACAATAATTACCAATTACATAATGCCAAAAATATATTTTCAATTTCTGTCCTTCAGTCCTACTCATCAAACACAACTACCGAACTCCCATCCATTTAGAATAATCTCCTCCTGCATCAAGTCCCACACCAATATCTTGATTCAACAGGAAGAAGATGAAATTAAGGATTCAGGATGTGTGTAATTAGTAGTTCTCATTCTGATCAATCTGTTTTAATACAGGTGCTTGTGGCAATAACGATGCCACGCTGTGCTGCATCTTACCAGTAACTTCTCCAGTTTTAGTTAGCTTTTGATAATGATGCAACAAATCCTATTCAGTCAGTGGCATTATCATGACTGGAGTGACCTGCTGTAAGTGACAGTGTTTTCATGTTATGGAACAGGAAATGTCTCAAGCCATTTAGCAGCTTTGTTGAAGACGAAGAGGTTTACAAAGTATTTGCGTAAAAGTTGTATAAGCTGTTTTGACGGGTCTTTTAGACTAAACTGAAACTGACTATGTGATTCTAATGCAAGCAGACATTGATCAAATGACTTTTCCTTTTTCCGCCTTCACGATACTGTAAAATGTCTGAAACCACACAATACTGCATTGGACACATTCACTGTGCTTAAAATAGTTTCTATCAGGCCTCCCATTATGGGTGCACAAACCACGGGTGTTTAATCCAGGTCTGGGACCTTTATCACCCCGAACTTACTCAAACGTTTCCTATCGGCCTCCACTGTCCAATTACACAGCTCGATGCTGACTAAATGACTAAATAGGAAGACCATTTCTGGCAGGGAAGAAGGGCAGTGCGAGGATTAATGAGTGTTTGGATGATGGGTTCAGAGTGCACACCCACCCCGGCCTGCCCGCTGGCTTAGACAAACTTTTAGGTGAAGTTCGGAGGAAATAAACCAGCCTGATGGCTCTTATGACCACAGCGTTCAAATGACTCGGTCTGCCTCGTTGTTGTTTAGAGCAAAACAGCGCACACTGGCTCGACAAAGGAATCTGTTCTCAGCATTGTTCCCACTGTAGGCAAATGGATGGAACATGTTCAAGCCGTTTGAAATGATCCCAAGCCAGTTTTCACTGTGTGCCACAATGACGACAGAGAAACAGGGAAATAAAGTAGAGGAAAGGCAGAGAGACTGGTGAGACAGGAAGTGTTTGCGCTGCGATGTACACTGTATTTGGTGGATGTTTGTGAGTGTGTACGCAAATGCTAGAGAGCGTGTGTGAGCTTGTGTGTGTGTGTGTGAGAGCCGGTGTTTGTGATAATGACAGGTTGCTACCATACACAAAGCAATGTGGAGCCTGAGCCAGCTCTGATATTAATCCATTACCTGTACTTCCCTCAACTGGCACACAATTCCTGACACACACAAGCACACTGGCAGCTCAGACAGGCTGCGCTAACAGGATGCAAACACATGTACTGTACAGGAGACGGTGCCTGTGTGGAGGAGTGCCATTTACTGTGCAATGCCTTCCACTAACAGTCTAGAATGTGCCTATACACTTGAAAAAAAGGCTACCCTGGGTAATGCTTCATTTTAATGGCTGTGACAAATACAACTTTATATTGCAAGTGACTCCTAAAACCCTTATATTTGCAGTTTGGTATTTCTTCCAGATTATCTCCCCACACTGTGTTCACTGAGAAAATGGTGTCCATAAATGTCACATGTGCTCAAATAGACTGGTTCAATTAATGAATTAATCAAGTAAAAATTCCATACTGCAATTATTCAAGTCATTTATCAAGCAAAACTGTCAAAATGTGTGTTTCAGTTTTACAAATTTAGGATAAGATTTGTTGCTTGCCTTTGTCATATATCAATGTAAATTGAATATCTTTGAGTTTTGGTGCAAATTGAAGAGGCCATCATAGGCTCTGTGAAAATGTGATTTCATAGATCAAACAATGAATATAAAAATGAAATGCTAAATGCTAACATTATCATTCTAGCGTGCACACAATGACAGTGCTAACATGCTGATGTTTACCATGTTCACCATCGTAGTGAGCATGCTAACATTTACTTATTAGCACTAAACATAAAGTTCAGCTGAGATTAAGGGAATACCATTCGTTTTGAGGATATTTGGTCCAAAACCAAAGTATTGAAATTATTTAAACAAAGTATTCCTGGGAATCAGAATAACAAACGAACTGACATGGCCATCACACGTCTCCTGGTGAAGAAAGCTCATAAACGGCTGTATTTCTTAAGGAAACTAAAGAAGGCAAAATTCCTGAGCCAAGTTCTTGTCAACTTTTACAGAGGAGCAATAGAAAGCATCCTGACTGCAAACATTACAAACTGGCATGGGATGTGTACGGCACAAGACAGGAGGGCTCTACAACGAGTGATTAAAACCGCCCAGAACATCATTGGCACCCATCTACAGAGCGTCAGTGATTTTGGTGAGAAGAGGAGCCTGCGAAGAGCTAAAGAGGACATTATAAGACAAAACCCACCCCAGCCACAACCTGTTCACCCTACTGCCGTCTGGAAAGAGATACGGAAGTATCAGCTGCCGAACAACCAGACTTCAAAGCATCTTCTTTCCTCCGGCCGGAAACTCCTTAATTCATCCTCCACCCTCCATATATAATATAGTTTGTTGTTGTTGTTGTTGTTGTTTCTTTTCTTTTCTATGTAGCAAATTCGGGACCACAAACTAAATTCTGTTGCACAACGACAAATAAAAACCTTGTAACCATGTATTGGCTAAATAAAAATCAGACCTTATGATGGTGCTAGATGAAAAGTTAATGGATCCACAAAAGTTATTACAATTCATCCTGAGGGGACCTATGAAGGTCTGTGCCAAATTGAATGGCAATCCATTAAATCGTCTTTGAAACATTTGACAAACAAAAAAAAACATGTCACCCTGTGGATCATTAAAGTCCAAAGTTGTATACAGTATGTGTACAAAATTCCATGGCGATCCATCCAACAGTAGTTGTCAAGATATTTTACCACAAGCCAAAAATATCAACCAAACTAAGTCGGGTATCACCAAAGTCAGTTCATCCTCTGGGGACAACTAATGCTTTGCACACACGTGAGCCTCAGAGGACCATCCCTAGAGCCACACTGCTTACATTTCTAAAACGTCGGCACATCCTGAGAATACAATTGAAATGTGTTAATATAATTACTGTAAAGAGTGACAAGAAAAAAGTTGACTCTGATATCCTGAAGTTGTATTCTTAATTGAAGATAGTTTTTTAGTTGCTACAGACTGAGCAAAGCATCCAAATTCCTCCAGAGAAGCTTTTCAGTGCCAAACAGTGCGTGATTTGTACTGAGAGGTGCGTGCACATTTTTGCATGTGGTGCCTGTGATCATGATAATGGAAACCTCACTGCTTCAAAGCCTGAACTGTGTTGAGGGCTGTTTTGATATGAGCCTTTTAACAATGGCTTTGTTTACCGACCACCTCTGAGAGATAACATGGATACATGTTTGATGGGAAGAGTCAGACACAAATAAAAGACCCCGAGCTGAAATCTGAAAGACAAATATCACTGGAATAAAAAACTATAACATGCCTAGGATGAGACACATTAACATGCTGGCACATTCAATACAGGCACGCATACATAACCAAACTGGCCGCATTCATTCCCACACTCACTGTCACACAGCCTTATCTATGTACATTCATTTCTTTCCTCAGTGATTTGTAGAAGAGAATAGCCTGTTTTTTCCACTCACACAGACGTCCAGGTATGCACAAATGTACAAAATCTCTCCCCTTCCTCTCACTCGCTGACACAACACACAAATACCTGATCAAAGGCCTTGCCCAGGGAACCTCTTTCAGCCAATTTGTGCAGCTGTCAGAGCCGGGCCGATAGTGAGCTCTGTATGTAATGTGTCAGAGACTGTGATAGGGAAATCCTTTGAAACATTGAAATCTCTCTCTCTCTCTCTCTTTGGCAACCACGCTTCCTCCTCTCTTTTCCCTCGCTCTCTTGCTCACTGTCAAATTCCACTCCACCATCGCTCAATCTCTTGCTCCTTTCACCTCCATCCTTCCACTTCCCACATACTCGCTCTATATTTCTATCTCCCTCCCTTCTCTTTTCCTCCCAGTTCCTCTCTTTTATGGATTACTCGGCAGCCGAGAGTGTGTGGACTGAAGGCTGCCTCTCAGCTGGTATTGTTGACACACTTAGTACAGTGGAGCAGCTCGCGCAGTGGGAAAAAGGCTCAGAGGCAGAGACACAAACTGTCGCACAAAGCAAACACAGTTACCGGGTCTTCGTAGATTTGATGCATGGCTGAGCCTGTGAGCAGCTACACACCGCAAAACATCGCTGCGCGGTGTCATGTATGTGCATGCTGCTGACTACCTAATGAGCCTATATTTGTCTGGATAAATGCAAAGAGGGCTGAGGAAAACAATTTCAGTCACTTGTTGGCAAGACACTGTAAAAAAAATGTTTAAAGCGCATCTCTAAATACACCTACGATGACAGTTAATGTTGTTTGTGTCTTTAATAGATCTCACTATTAATTCCAACAAATATTCACTCTTTTAAACAACTGCTGTCTCTGGTCTCATTTGGCTACCTTTCAGTGAACAAGCTTGTTAGCTGGGTCACTAATGGGACAAGTTCACGCAGTCTATTAAGAAAACATATTTGTACGATCATCTCTTGTCTTATAGCTGACTGCAAAACATTCCTCTGTGGTGGAGCAGTTAATATCCAAAAGAGGGTTGAATAAAAAGTTGATGTTGCAACACCAGCTAATAAACTACAAATGCTTCCTCCCTTTTTGGACTCTTCGGATCTACGTGTCCTCAACACTGTCAAAATGGCTTGCTATCTAATTTCGCCAAAAATTGAAGTTGACGCAAACAATTTGTGTGGCTTTACTTGCCACACAAGCCTTTTT